TTAACCAATTACCCACATAATTAAGAATTAACTCAAATTACTTAAAATACTACTTACTTTTAACACACTTTATGTACCCTACTATCATGGTCATGTGGTATCTTGTATGGCATTGGTTCATAAATACGGGGTATTATAGCTTGGACCGTATTTTATCTTAAAATGACAGCATTCAATGAAACTCATTTTTTTTTATTCGTTTACCCTCTCACTTTCACGAATTTACTTATCACTTGTTTAAAATAGCATAATACTTATAATCCCAAAATAATCTCATTCCCCAACTTACGTCGATTAATTTATGACAAAACTTTAATGTACGAAAATGTGGAATGTAACATCTCATTTCCGAGCTTTCATCAATTTACTTATGGAGTACTTTCACATTAAAAAACATGGGGTGTAACATCATTCCCCTATTTAGAACATTCGTCCTCGAATGTTGACTGATGCACTTATCATTTTCATAACCCATAGTGTCATGTCTCGACCTCGGGAGGCGCGATCGGCGCTCAATCGAGTGAACCCAACTGAGCAAGCCTTTTGGACACCTTCTACCCCACTCCCTATGATCAAGAAACCATGCTTTCATTTAATTAGACATTAGGAAAAGATCGCACATATAATGTTGGTAGTTCATTTTATATTTGTTAGTTTGTATGAGTCTACCAAACAGTAGAGTACCTGGCCCTCTACGAGATTCTGCTGAGAATGCTAATAAACTGTAAGTAAATGAGACAAGGGATTTTTACGTGGAAAAATCCCACACAAAGGGACCAAAAACTACGACCTACACCTGTAGGCTTTCAACTTCACTAACTTGTAAAAACCTATTACAAGCCACTTTGTAATGACTCCATTACAAAGAATTCAACTCAACTAACTAGTGGTACTCTTACCACAAGCCACTTTATGACTCCCTAGTTACAAAGACTTTTACTAACTTGTGATGCTCTCACCACAAGCCACTTTGTCACTCTATAGTTACAAAGGCTTTTGCTTATGACTAGACCTAGTCACAATATAAACTCAAAGAGTTTACGGATTTAACAAGAAGATTCCTAATCAACGCGTCTAGCTAAGAAATTTAGGAAATACAATGAGTACAATAATAAAGTTACAACTCAACTAAGGACAACAAAATACTGACATTAGGAACTGGTCCGTAGTAGCGTTCAACTTTGTTCTTCAAGCTCGTGAGAATTGATTTCTCTATTTTTGCAAAAGGCTTTAATGAGAAACTGAAACATTGAAGTGATGTTTTAATATCAATTCATTGTTGGTACACCTTGATCACATCACTTGAAATGTGAGCACTTTAGTTAGTCAAGGAATGAGTGGGCACTGGAAATAGTGCGGTGTGGCAGAAACAGTGCAGGCAGTCACTTCGTTTCCAACTGTGTCCAATTAACTTTATACTGCCATGAGGGAACCACAAGGGTATCAGGTCCTTGTTTGGTTTCCTAGCTCCTGCAGATATAGCAGTTCACATTTAGATGGAATCCATTAAACTTGCAGTATATTCCAAGTGGGTCAAGTTCCTTATCTGGTTCTTATCAGTAAGTTTGTTAGATCATCAAAACATAAGGCAAGGACATTTAGAACCTATCAATTTCCCCCTTTTTGATGATGACAAACTTAGCATCGATAACGTGGATTTAGAGCAGTGAGAACCAGATTAAGTAACAGGACAATTAGTTCCCCCTGACTTTATGCCTTCCTTATTTCTCATTTTTAACTACTACATATTTTTGAGAACCAGATTTAAGTAAAAGTTTCACAATTAGTTCCCCCTGACTTTATTCCCCCTTTTGGCATAATTAAAAAGGCACAAATAGGTAAATAGCATAAAGAAGTCAAGCTAAGCTAACTCATGCCACATATGTGTACACAACATAATAGAGCAGAGAAACATAGAATTGAAGCAATAAGATAATAAAAAGAGGATAGATTTGATATTAATAAAAAATTTATATGTCTTCGCTTAAAAAGCGAAGGCAACATTGGACTGTTAAGACGGGAGCAGCACTGTTTCATCCCAACCACATCAAAAAAAGAAAACAAAACATCTGCCAAAAAAACTTACCAAAAAAAACATTTCCAGAAACTGGTCACTGAAGGGGTACTTAGGGGGAACTAGGAGTAAAGGGCTTGGAAGCTGCAGCAAGTGTTTGGAGAACATGGTCTATTCGGGCATTGGCCGACTATTGCATATTGAGCAGTTCTTCTTTCAGGTTCTCTACTTGCGCCCGGAGATCAACATTCTCTTTTGTCAAACGCGATCCCTCACCATTTGACGTCGGAACCCCTTGGGCTTGCTGACCTTCCAGGATAGCATTCATGGCCTTCAACCGACGAATCTCCTCAGCTGTACAGTTTTGAGCATTAATAAGTTGTGAGACGGTTGATTTACTTCCTACTCCCCTATTCTTTTCTATGCACTCACATTTTTCCAATGTTTTCTATGAGAAAGTCTGCTTCTTAGTCCCCACTTTCCCTATCCCCAGTGGCATCTCAAAGAATTTAAACATTTGCATTAGCAACAACCCATAGGGAAGTCCATGATTACCATCTTTGAAGGTGGCGACCTTTTCCATGTGTTCAATCATAATAACAGGCAGACTCACAAGAGTAAAGCTATCTAGTTGCTCCATCAAGAACAGGTGAAACTTAGAAGTTACTGACCTCCTCTCAGCTCGAGGCAATAGAAATTTGTTTACCAATTCGAACAGCAGCTGATAGACAGGAAGTAGCGCTTTCTTATGGATCTGGTCCCCATTCTGGTTTGCATTGTCTTTTACCACGACATTTTTGAAGTTAAACTGACACACATCCTTTACAGTGGACACACTAGCTGTAAGAACTTTAAGAATCTCTCCAAGCAACTTTACATCGAATACGATGTCCACTCCATTCACCAAAGCACAGATATGGTCTATCTCAACGGGAAAAAGGCTAGCAAAGAAGCTTTGTACCTCATCCTTATATGCATTAGGTGCATCTATTTGGAATAGATTCACCCATCATTGGAGCTCGACCATTTCAAGAATTTGTCGCATACCAGCCATCTCAGAGATTGTTGGGTCAAAAGTACGACCCAGCAGAACTTTTTGGTACCTCAGGCATTCTGAGCCAAGGCTGACTTCACTTCTTATCCTCTTCACAGATCCAGGTTCCTGAATAAGTTCAGACTTTCGTTTGCCAGATTTCCTACCACTGGATTTCTCCTTTCCTTTGGATTTGACTAACACATCCTCGTCAGACATTGAGAACTCACTCACAACATTTTTCAAATTGGAGCTAGAAGTTGAGGCGTTCTCTACTGAAGCAGGCTACTTCCTTTTCTCAGACCGTCTAACCAGTGAACCAGGTTCATCTGGTGTTTCCTCTTCCACCTCTACTACAGGGATCACCTTATCACTTACGGGCATACTATCTTTCACCAGCTTCCTCATTTGCTTCTTACTACCCTTTTTGATCTTTTGAAGGGTAGAGTCATAGGCCAGTTTAGCTTGTAGCCTGGTAGTGGGTCGCTTGGTGGAAGACTCAAGGGTGGTCACCACCCTTTGCTTTACTATAAACGCATCAAGAGCGAGGTTGTCTAAATCCTCCTCATCACTGGACCTCATCTTCGGTGCTTGTATTTCCAAGGGCACAACATCAAATGTAGTAGAAGAACTGTCCTGGGAATGAGAACCTTGACCTGGGTCCTCTAGAGAGGGATCAGGTTCCTCATGTGAGGGCCCAGTAGCTTCTGCTAGTACAGCGCCTTCAGCAGTTACAATAGCCCCTTCGTCCCCCACACCTTGTACCTCATTTTTCTAAGAGATGATCTAATGTAGTACACCATCAACAGACACCACAAAGATGGTTACAATATTCTCTTTCTCAATTGGCACTACTGCCACCACGGAATAAGTAGCAACAATGGCAGAACTCTCTGTGACCTCAGGATTTTGACCTTGTTCTCCACTTGGTCTTTGACTAGTGGGATTCTCAGAAGATGGAGAGAACGGATCAGCAATTTTAGAGGTTTCTGAAATATAGAGAGACGGAGAATTTGGGTGAGGTATGATTTTAGCGGGAAGGGTAAGAGTGGGTAAGGCAGGCTCAGCAGAGACGGAAGTCTCCATGGGTTTATCAGTAGCAGGTACGACTGAGGCAGGAAAGTCGGAGTTTGTCTCAGCCATTGAAAAAATGGTGTGAAAATGCTATGGAAAGTTTTAGTGGAGAGATTATGGTTAGGGAGAACAGAAAAGGGTTTTTTTATGAGGAGAGGATAATTATGTAGAGAGAGGAATAGGCATCGGTTCTGAAACGGCAGTTGGGCATGGAGAAGTGCAACGTTTTAGAGGGAGATGGAATGATTTAAGTGAAGAGATGTGACAGCAAGATCTGAAAAGTTTAATGACATGGCAGTTGTGTTTTGTACCTTTGTAAGACATGTATTAAAGGATGAACAGAACTACTAACCTTTGGTACAAGAACCAGGTTCTTGACCTGTTATTTGAAAATATTAATCCTCGTTTATAATCCATGCACTACATCTACAGCTTCTATACACATAAAGCGTATTTACCTACAACGGTATTGAAGTGAGTTAGACAGGGCCAGAAAACACTTTTAGCCAATTTTTCTTGAAGATAATTTTCATAGCCAAATAATGGGGAATCAGGTTCTCAATTAGGCCTTAAAAGCCCCAACTTTACTCTGTTTCTTTCAAAGTGTTCCCTACTTAATGTCTTGGTAAAGATGTCTACAATTTGATATTCTGTGCTACAGAACTTCATGCATATCAATCCTTTCTCCACATTGTCCCTCAGAAAGTGATGCCTCACATCAATATGCTTGGTCCTTTTGTGTTAAACTGGATTCTTGTCCATGTTGAGTGCACTTGTGTTATCACATAGAAGGGGCACACTCTGAGTGAGTACCCCAAAGTCCTCCAGTTACTGCTTGATCCACAAAAGTTGTGCACAGCAGGATGTTGCGGCTACATATTATGCCTCAGTTGTTGAAAGAGCCACTGAGTTTTGCTTCCTTGTACCCCAAGAGATGAGACATAAGCCTAGGAAATGAGCCATTCCAAAAGTGCTCTTCTTGTCTACAAGATAACCTGTATAGTCTGCATTAGCATATCCAATGAGGTTAAAACTGTCACATGTGGGATAATAAAAGACCAGGTCCTGTGTTCCTGTAAGATATCTCAGAATTTTTTTGGCTGCCTTCAAATGAGATTCCTTGGGATTTGATTGAAACCTTGCACATAACCCCACACTGAAGACAATATTAGGTCTACTGGCAGTAAGATAGAGAAGAGACCCAGTAATGCCTCTATACATAGTTTGATTCATAGGAGACCTAGCTTCAACCATGTCTAGTCGAGTGGTCGTAGCAATGGGAGTGTTTATCACCTTTGATGCTTCCATATCAAACCTCTTCAAGAGATCCCTGATGTATTTTTGCTGACATATTAATGTACCCTTTGGGGACTATTTTACTTGAAGACCCAAGAAGAGTTCAGCTCCCCCATCATACCCATTTCATACTCACTTCCCATGAGTTTTGCAAATTTCTCACGCAGAGAATCAGTTGTTGCCCCAAAAATGATATCATCAACATAGACCTGAACAATGAGCAGGTTCCTTCCCCGTTTCTTTAGAAATAGGGTGTTGTCAATTTTCCCTCCTTTAAAGCCATTTTCTAAGAGGAACTTTGACAGCCTTTCATACCAAGCTCGAGGAGCCTGCTTCAGCCCGTAAATGCTTTGTCCAGTTTAAAAACATATTCAGGGTGTTCATGACATTCAAACCCCGGAGGTTGCTTTACATAGACTTCTTCCTTAAGAAGTCCATTCAGAAATGCACTTTTGACATACATTTGGAACAAGGTGAATTCCATATGAGATGCAAAAAGCAATTAAAATTCTAATAGCTTCCATACGAGAGACCGGAGCAAACATTTCCTCATAGTCAATCCCTTCCTCCTGATTGTAGCCTTGAACTACTAGCCTAGCCTTGTTCCTCGTGGTAATTCCATGTTCATCAAGCTTGTTTCTGAATACCCACCTGGTTCCTATAATGGTTTGATCTGAGGGTCTGGGTACCAGGTGCCAAACATTGTTCCTTTCAAACTGATGTAACTCGTATTGCATTGCTGTAATCCAATATACATCCTTCAAGGCTTCCTTGATATTCTAAGGTTCTATCTGGGTGAGAAAAGTTGAGAAGGCAAATGAATTTCTAGCTTTTGACCTGGTTTGTACTCCGGAATCTAGAGGAGTAATTATGTTGTCAAGAGGATGAGAGCTTTTGTGTCTCCAGTTAGACGTCTGAGGTTCATTTAGAGAGAAATTGGGTACATTTGACTGGTTTTCCTGTCTTCTCTCAAGTTCTAGTGGAGTACCCTGAACTGCATCAACTACTCTTTCTTGAGCTTCAGTGATTGTAATTGAAGTACCTGGTTCCTTTGAAGATGAGGCAGTGTTGTCTTCACTCAGGTCTTTTACTTGGCTCATCATGTCTGCCTTTCCATTTATCATGTCAATTACTTCACCGGGAACAAGTAAGGGTTCTCCATCTTGATCTTCTTCAACACTCTTCTTACAGGATGGATAAGACTCATCAAAAATAACATGAACACTTTCCCCAACACATTGAGTCCGCTTATTATATATTTTGTAATCCTTGCTTTGAGAAGAGTAGCCCAGAAATATTCCTTCGTCACTCTTGGCATCGAATTTACCAAGTTGATCCTTTCCATTATTGAGAAGATAGCATTTGCACCCAAATGTTCTTAGGTGAGTCAGCTTGGGTTTTCTTCCATTCAACAATTCATAGTGGGTTTTGTTTAGAAGTGATCTGATCATGCACTTGTTCACCAAGTAGCAGGCAGTGTTGACAGCTTCAGCCCAGAAGTTCTTTCCAATTCCACTGTCAATTAGCATTGTTCTTGCCATCTCTTCCAGAGTTCTGTTCTTCCTTTCTATTACTCCATTTTGCTAGGGAGTTCTGGGAGCTGAGAAGTTGTGAGTGATGCCATTTTCATTACAGAACTCATCAAATTTGACATTGTCAAATTTTGTCCTATGATCTAATCTAATGCATGCAACTCTAGACTCCATCTTCACCTGAATTTTCTTCACAAAAGCCACAAACACCTCAACGATTTCATCTTTAGTTATGAGAAATAGAGTCCATGTGAATCTGGAGTAGTCATCCACTATCACAAAAATGTATCTTTTTCCTCCTCTACTTTGCACTCTCATAGGGCCACATAGATCTATATTCAGAAGCTCTAGTGGCTTTGAGGTGCTCACATCTCTTTTAGACTTAAAGGAGGACTTCACATGTTTTCCTCTAGCACAGGCATCACAGACCTTTTACACTTTGAATTTTGACATGGGCATACCATGGACCAAGTCTTTCTAGATTAGTTTGTTTAGAAGAGAAAAACTTGCGTGGACCAGTATTCTGTGCCATAGTTCAGCATCAACATCAACAGCTTTCAGACAACTCAGATCACCACTTTGTAAGGACTCGAAATAAGCAACATAGATGTTCTTGTATCTTTTGGCCACAAGTACCACTTCACCAGTTACCAAATCAGTAACTGTACATATCTTGGACAAGAATTCCACCTTGTTTCCCTTATCATAGATCTGAGAGAGACTCAAGAGACTATATTTAAGGCTATTGACATAGTACACATGTTCAATAGAATGAGTAAGTGACTTCCCGACTTTTCCAACTCCAAGAATGTATCCCTTTTTCCCATTGCCAAAGGATACACCCCCTCTTTGCAGGGCTTTTAGTGAAAGAAAGTCCATGGTGTTAACAGTCATGTGCTTTGAACACCCACTATCCATGAACCATTGTTGACCGCTTCCTTTCATTGTTCCCTGCACAAGAAGGTTAGGAATTAGTTTTAGGAACCTAAGCAAGTTTGGGTCCCTTGTAGTAGGCAAAAGGGTGAATAAGAGCTCTCTTATTCCATGCAGGTAATGTGCGCATTTTGTGAGTGGAACCTGGTCCCTCTTTTGTAGTCATATTTTCAGCAAACACTTTGTTTTTCTGAACAGATTGAACCCTGGCCTGGCAATTTTCTTTGAAGTGCCCATTGTTCCCACAATGGATACAGGGCCAGTTATCAAAAATAGTGATGTACTTGCTGTGAGAATTGTAGGGAGTGTTCTCCCTTTGGAACCCTATTTCCTGCCTGTTTCCACCATTATTAGTGTATATGTCAGTTGTAGTTTCTGAGGACCAGGTCCACTTTAGGAACTTTTCAAGATCATATTTTACTCTTTCCAGATCAGCTTGGAGGTTCTTGTTTTTCTCAATTTCAGCACACATCCTAGTTCTTACATCTTTCAACTCATTTTCAAGCCTAATGTGTTCCATACTAGCTATCTCTTTTCCTTTTCTAGAATTTCTAGATTTTGACTTAGTCCCTGGTCTATCTATTGTTTCCCTTAGGTCTGCAATTACTCCCAGGAAATCATTTCTTTCTTCATGGAATTTTTCAATGGTTTCCTTATGGTCAATAACTACATCCACCAAATCATCTCTAGTTTGTTCAACTTTTCCTAGTTCTACGGACAAGGAATCCCTATCCTCTACAAGACTATGATAAGTATCAATCAATAAACTAGCTAAAGACATGAGTTTCTTAGGAGAGTAAGATTTCAGATTTCTCTGAACATCCCTTGCCATCAAAGCAAAAGTTGAGTCAAATTCTTTTTCCTCACCTTCAACTTCCATCATGGAACTATCACCAGCATTAGTTTCATCTTCAGATTCACCAGAGGAATCTCCCCATGCTGCAAGAGCCTGTTTCATCACATTGTCAGCAGATCTTTTTCTTTTGAAGTCCTTGAAAGGAACCGGGTTCCTCTTAGCTGCCTTTTCAGAGTTGTTCTTGGAGAATTCTTGCTTCAAGAGAGGAAAGTATTTGATGAAGTGTCCAGGCTTTCCGCACTTACGACAAAGATCATAGTTTTTTGGTTTGTTAGAGCTGCCCCCTTTTAGCATTTCTCCATTTCTTCTGACCATCTTCTGAAATCTTTTGGTTAAGTAAGCCATGTCAACGTCTTCATCACTTGAGTCATTGCTATCAGCTTTGAGTACCAAGTTCTTTTCTTTTTTTGGTTCTCTTCTTTCACTGTCTATCTTCCTCTTCATCTCGTAGGCCTTCAGATTTCTAATAAGCTCTTCTGTGGTCAGCTCTTGCAAGTCCTTTGATTCAGTAATAGCATTCACCTTGCTTTCCCATGGGCTAGGAAGAATAGTAAGGATTTTCCTCACTAGCTTGTTTCTAGGAATGGTTTTGCCAAGTGAGTGTAACTCATTTATGATGGAAGTGAATCTTGTGTACATATCTTGAATAGATTCATCGTCCTACATCCTGAAGATTCATACTCGGTGATGAGCATATCGATCTTAGACTGTTTTACTTGGGTAGTTCCCTCATGAGTTGTTTGTAAAGCTTCCCATATCTCCTCAGCAGTGTCGTAAGCGGAAATTCTATTATATTCTTCAGGTCCTATTCTACACACCAGAATCTTCTTGGCACGAAAATTCTTCTCCACAGCTTTCTTATTTGCGTCAGTGTATTCTTTACTGGTTTTTGTCATTGAAAATAGGAGTTCTTCCAGTACCTTTGTTGGAACATAAGGACCATCACATATGATATCCCATAACTCAGAATCTTCAGCCATAATAAAATCATGCATTCTTGTTTTCCACCACCCATAATATTGTCCATTGAACCTGGGTGGTCGGTATATAGATTGACCTTCTTCAAAATTTGGAAAAGCAGCCATAAGGATCCTTCCTACGTGTTAGCCTGATAGGAGGAACCCGCTCTAATACCAATTGTTAGTTTGTATGAGTCTACCAAATAGTAGAGTATCTGGTCCTTTACGAGATTCTGCTGAGAATGCTAATAAACTATAAGTAAATGAGACAAGGGATTTTTACGTGGAAAAATCTCACACAGGGGGACCAAAAATCACGACCTACACATGTACGCTTTCAACTTTACTAACTTGTAAAAACCTATTACAAGCCACTTTGTAATGACTCCATTACAAAGAAGTCAACTCAACTAACTTGTGGTACTCTTACCACAAGTCACTTTGTGACTCCCTAGTTACAAAGACCTTTACTAACTTGTGATGCTCTCACTACAAGCCACTTTGTCACTCTACAGTTACAAAGGCTTTTGCTTATGACTAGACCTAGTCACAACATAAACTCAAAGAGTTTACGGATTTTACAAGAAGATTCCTAATCAACGCTTCTAGCTAAGAAATTTAGGAAATACAATGAGTACAATAACAAAGTTACAACTCAACTAAGGACAACAAAATACTGACTTTAGGAACTGGTTCGTAGTAGCATTCAACTTTGTTCTTCAACCTCGTGAG